AGTCCCAAGTCCCAAGTCCCATCCCCTAGTTTACATGAGTTTTAGGTCAGACAAGCAGGTAAAGGGTCGAGTTGTCCGTCACTAGAAAAGTAGAAATGCTTGTGAGAAAAAGGGTCGAGTTGCCCGTAACATCTTTATAATTTGACGCATTTTTAAAGGCTGCCGCCAAGCTGCTTCGCCCTTTGCTCCTCGCCACCACCACTTAGAGCCTCTCTTCTTCTTACTCTTAGGCGAGTTCGCCGGTGGCATGGAAAGAGGACACAGCTCTTCTTTAGATCTAGTTCGCTTAATTTAAGTTCAAATAAATATACCAGCAAAATTAGTTGATTTCTGGTCGGAACCTTGTCATTTGTGATGATTTCAAGAATTGCCACGATGTGGTTGTTGATGCATGCGTCAATTCTATTGGCAGTCAATCAATTCCACTACTACAGAAACCATTTGTAGCGACGTCTATTGAAATAGACGCTGCTAGAATCGTCTTTAAAATGTTTTCGATCCTAGACACTCTAAAAATTCATTTTTAGAGGTGGTTGGTATAAAATGCCCTAGTTTTAGAGGTAGCTCTAGATCCAGCCATCACTAAAAGTCAACTTCTAGAGGCGGCTACATCTAGAACCGCCTCTAGAACCTAGATCTCCATCACCCCTTATGCCTTGTTCGTTACCATCAGCTAGACCCTAGCTAATCATACTCAATGAAAGTTCATATGGTTGGCATTCAATTACCAAAACCAAATTAGGGATTTTATCTAGCCAGTTAGATACCATCAATATGTCTGAAGAACACCAGCATGCTCCGTCCTTGCATCCTAGGGCATGCTACAGGAGTAAACAAGTTGTTGAGCTCTATTTACAATCCTACCACACTTCCCTCCCGTCCATTCCCCACTCTGCTCTCACTCTCTTTCCCCAACCTGCTGGCGGCGGACTAAAGCCATCCTCTCTCATGCTCTCTACTCCATCATCGCCGTACTCATCGACACACACATCTGCAATGCACAGTCAACACTGTAATGAACCTGCAGTTAGTGCAGACGATCGTATCTTGGTTTCATTTGATTCGTACCATATTTCTTGGATCTAGAAAACCCAACCTCAGTTATAGTATTGTTCTTGGATCCGCAGATAAAAATAACTTTTCTTCTTTTGGTGTTGGTGGCCTTCTGTCATGACCCAATCGTGGCATGGTCATTTTCATAATCATCATATGCATTGTAATCTCATTTTGGAAAACTCTACATGCATAAAGTTACACTTTTTGGGCTCTGCCCTGTTCAAGTGAACCGTCTGGCGCACCCTCGGACCATTCACCAAAACATGTACACACTTAGCAATTTTTACCAAGTCAGTGTCCCCACAGACCATCCGATGTACTCCCAGATCATCTGCCAGATCACTTCATACACAGTAGTGAGCTATCCTCACTGGGGCATTCCTGGCCCCAACTGTTAGCATAGCTATCACCATTTCGTGGAAATGGCTTCAGCAACAACACTCACTCCTTCATACGCTTCAACTCATACTCTCTCGGTAGTTCATCTCTCTCTCACTCTAGAACCGATCCAAGAGCACTAGGAGGAGAAGAGGGATTGGAGGTTTTCAACAGCAAGGAGACCATGTAGATCAACCCAGAGAAGGCCACACGTGGATGGGGATAGAAGAGGGAGGAGCCCTCTCTCCCTAGAAAAAAGAAGCTAGGAGGAGATTCCAGGAAGAAGGAGACCAAGGGGAAAGAGGAGTGAACCATGCCTCTTCCACTCTTCAATAGTCTTAGCAACACCTCCTACTCCCCTGGGTAAGTGGATTTTGAGCACAAAACCTAGGTTTCACCATGGATGAAGCACTAGTGTTACATTCATCACTTAGAAAATGACCCATATACACTTTATGTTGATTAGATGGAATGTAGCTAGATTCAACTAGTTAGATGTGAACTATGGAACCCTAGGAACACCCCACAAACCTAGTCTACACATGCACTCACCCTAGGAAGAGATTTTATTTTCAAGATCTCGAAACACATAAATTTAGTTCCCATGGACCGTCCGCCGTGTCACCGAACCGTCCGCGAGAACACCACTAACTTCAAACACTTAGCCACCACGGTCGATGTTCCCACGGACCGTCTGCAAGACATACCGCAGTCGTTGCTTCTCTCTCTCTCTCTCTCTCTCTCTCTCTCTCTCTCTCTCTCTCCCTTGTTTCCTTCTTCAGCATCTCCTTTCCCTACCTGAAAGCTCCTACAGAGGCTCAGGCTCTCGGCCAACGTGGTGATGCGGCGGCGGTGCGCTCTCATCTCGCGCACACGGGCGGCGGCTCACACCCTGGCTTGCACGTTGAGGCCACGACAACGCCCCTAGGTCCTTCCTGCGCGCAGAGGTGGCGGCGCTCAGCCTACTCGGGGAGGCTCTGTGGCAGCGCCTCTTGGCCCGCACGACGCACGCAGAGGTCACAACGACGAGTAGATGTTGTAGTGGTGCTGCATCCGTTGTTGGATTCGATTCGATTTGGCTGTGATTTGCTTGTATCTGTGTGTGAGGCTTGCTCGTAAGTCGAGCGTATGTGAAATGTGAATCGAGTTTTTGCTCTTTATTATATATAAATTGTACAGGGCCATGGGCCAACACGGGCTCGGTGGGCTGGCCATGCCGTCAGGCTGACCCGACACGTCCTGAGTCTTATAATGCTGTGCTTGGGCCGTTGTTGTAGCTCGTGGGTGCGCACGACATGGCCTAATGAGTTAGTCGTGCTGTGCCGGTCTTACCCCATCGGGTCATGTGTAGTCGGGCCCGGGCCGAGCCGGGCCGGCATGGATGACCTATTTGGCCATCTATATACCTGGTATCGGTGACCGGTTCACTCCACGTGGCATCGCTATCCATGTGCTTCCACGCGTCTCCCACTCCCATTCAAATAAATATTTTGCCGTGCTTAGAGCATCTTCAAGAGTATTCTATTTTTTTCTCCTAAAAATATATAGTTTTGTAACTCTTAAAAAGATATTGGTAGGAAAAAAAGAAGGCCATCTCCAAGAGTTTCTAATAATCCACTCCTAAAACATAGAAAATAATTTTACATCAGAAATCCTATACTGTTTCTAAATTATTGTAACCACTTTTATATATTCTTTTTCTCTCATACATTTGCATAGGAACCCTTTCCTACTTCTTATTCTTTTTCACACCCTTCCACCTTTAGATTGACCGACCGGCGACGGATATGCACCGGATCCGCGCGCCCGCTACTAAGCGTAAAGTTACGCGTAACGGGGAGGATTTCCCAAGTGCCTAAATTTTAGGAGCATAGATCATGAGTTGTTGGAGAGGTGTTTTTTCTCATCTTACTAAAAACCAAAGATTAGGAAGAGAAATACGGTACTCTTGTAGATGCTCTTAGTGCTTACACTTCATTATATAGCCATATAGCCTCTTAATTAGGTTCCACGCCACTCCATCAGCTTCCCATATATATCAAAAAAAAATGTTTAGCTTTGCTGATCGTGTTCGTCAAGTTTATTCGGTGGTCTAGTAGGTACACTGGAAAGTATCGGAATCAACGAGACGATGCGCTGCAACCTTTAATGCTGGCTGCCTCCCATCCCATCTATGGTGATTCCTAATCAAATCAAATTCGATCAAGTGCTTCAACTTTGCATCTCCGACTCTGGAACCACAGTTTTAATTTGTTCTTCCGATCCATTTATATAAGAGAGGCCTCAGGCGAGTGACGAATATGGGCAAGCAGCGATTGCATACGAGCAGCAGATGCAGACAAGCACAATGGCAAGCAGCGGCCAGTGCTATGCGTCAACCAGAGATGTTTGGCGTGTTTGGATGGCAACCTCCGGCCAGGCAACTCTGTCCTAGCCTCCATACCGATTTACTATATGTCCACCGTGCTTTTCCCCAAAACTTTCATCGAAAAAAATTACCTCTATCGTTAGGAGATTCTGGTGGGCTGGTGTTCAGGAACAAAATTCTACCAGTCTTTTCCGCTTCCGCTCTTGGGAAGACAGTTGTTAAACAAAAGACAACAGTGGCCTCGGCATCAAGGATCTCTTTATAGTCAACCGCAGCCTCATCCTTCACACTGCTGGAACATTGCCACTAATAGAGACCCTTTCCTTACTGCAATTCTCAAAGCTAAATATTTCCCAACCACCTCTTTCTAGCTTTCAAATGATACCAGCACCAAATCAGTTTTCTGGGCATCTATACTCCAAGTAAAGCAGATTCTAAATCAACATTGCACCATTCAACTTCAAAGAGCTGATTCCAGCATCTGTATCGACCCCTTGATGTGCTATTTGGAACTCTATCATGACCACATTAACCTTCCGATCACTAGGACTAGTCTCCCTCAAACTATGGCTAATCTTCGGGTTCCTCTCTCTCTTTCTCTCTATATATCCTGGAACACAGAACTTATCTCTGAGATTTTCGATGACCCAGCCACCCAGATCATTACCCAAACTCAGACTGTCCCCTCACACCAAACTGACATTGTCAGATGGAGACCGGCCAAAAAAGGTTTTTGCACCTCCAAAGAAGCCTTCAAACTTCTTAGCGCTGCCTTGTAGGTTCAACTCCCTCAACATGGCACCAGAAGCATATCCCAACAAGCCATGTTCATAAAAGAGCATGGAAACACAAGCAGCTTCCACCATACATCAAAACCTTCTGCTGGAGACTGATTAGAAGGGCCCTTGCAACTGGAGAAAGAGCAGGGAATCTATCAACCAAAATAAGTAAGCAATGCACAACTCGCAACTTGTCTGAAAATTATGCTCATTTATTTTCCCACTGCACCTTTGCTAGCTAGAGCGGTTTGGTTCTCTTACCAACCACAACACATCGGATGAACATATTCAAAAGATATTAACCACCCTCTAGTACATTTGGAAAGCCAGGAATGATCATCACTTCCAAAGGAAAATTTGGACTGTTGGGCAGGTACATAACGCGGTGGTTGCGGACATCAACACCACCTCGCTCTCCAATGGCCGAAATGAAGAACATGTGCATGAGGATGAAGAACAAAATGACGATTCGTCCATGCCAGGTAACAATCTCCCCATTGCAGGACCACCAAAAAGTGAAGCCACTGGACACAATGCTGCTGAAGGTCAACCTTTGCTGTATTCGGCAATGCCTGGCCCGCCTCTGTACAGAGCAATGTTGTCGGCGCTACTTCCAGGCACAAGATGTTGGAGTTGTTCCAAATTCACTTCAGGATATAGGCCGGGCTTCTGACGGAGCGTAGAGCTGTTAAGTGTCTTTTCCTTGGTTATAGTTCGGGAGACAAAGGCTATAAATTGTGGAATCCTGAAACAGAAAAGACTTTTATGAGCAGGAGTGTTGTTTTCAATGAATCTGTGATGTTTACTGACAGTTTACCCTCAGATCATGTTCCAGAAAAAGAGCTGCAGCGTATGCGCATGCAGGTGGAGCATGTTGATGATGATACAGGTGTGCAGGTGGAGCCTGTTGATGAGCATGGTGACCATGATAATGATGTTGCTGAGGATGATGCTCATGATGATGTTCAGCAAACTCCTCCTATTTTGCAGTTAGAGGAGGATTTACCTATTGCTCAACGCAAGTCAAAAAGGACAATTGCACCTCCTAAGCGTCTTATTGAAGAGTGTAATTTGTCTTACTATGCTTTGAGTTGTGCTGAACAGGTGGAGAATGTTCATGAGCCAGCAACCTATAAAGAAGCTATTCGTTGTGGTGATACTGAGAATTGGATTTCTGCTATGCATGAGGAGATGCAGTCTCTTGAGAAGAACAGTACATGGGAGATTGTACCTTTGCCTAAGAATAAGAAGACCATCAGCTGCAAATGGATCTTCAAGAGAAAGGATGGTTTATCTCCAAGCGAGCCTCCAAAGTATAAGGCAAGGTTAGTTGCTAAAGGCTACAAATCAAATTCCAGTGTTGACTACAATGATGTGTTCTCTCCATTGGTAAAACATAGTTCAATTCAGATTTCCTTAGTATTGTTACTTCACATGATCTTGAGCTTGAGCAGTTAGATGTGAAGACTGCGTTTTTTATATGGAGAGCTTGAGGAGGACATATACATGGACCAACCGTAAGGGTTCATAGTGCACTGCAAGGAAAAATATGTGTGCAAGTTGAAGAGATCCTTGTATGGTTTGAAACAGTCCCTCGTCGATTGGAACAAGAGGTTTGATTCATTTATGTTAGCACACACGCTTTAAAAAGATCTAAGTATGATAGCTGTGTTTACATCAAGCATGTTAATGGATCACCTATATATTTGCTGTTATATGTTGATGATATGCTGATTGCTGCCAAGAGTAAGATTGAAATCACTTAGTTAAAGAAGCTATTGAGTAGTGGTTTTGATATGAAAGATCTTGGTAGTGCTAAGAAAATTCTTGGTATGGAAATTAGTAGAGATAGAAAATCTGGTTTGCTATTTCTTAGTCAACAAAATTATATCAAGAAAGTTCTTCAGCGTTTCAACATGCAAAATGCTAAGGCTGTTAGTACCCCTATTGCACCTCACTTTAAGTTGTCAGCTGCTCAGTGTCCTAGTACAGATGCAGAGATTGAATACATGTCAAGGGTTCCTTATTCTAGTGTTGTTGGGTCTTTGATGTATGCCATGGTTTGCTCTCGTCCAGATTTGTCATATGCTATGAGTCTTGTTAGTAGATATATGTCTAATCCTGGCAAAGAACATTGGAGGGCAGTTCAGTGGATTTTCAAATACCTCAGAGGCACAGTAGATTCCTGTTTAAAGTTTGGAAGAACTGATAAGGGTCTTATTGGCTATGTGGATTCTGATTATGCTGCTGATCTGGACAGGCGAAGATCACTTACAGGTTATGTGTTTACTGTTGGCAGTTGTGCTGTGAGTTGGAGGGCTACTTTACAGTCAGTTGTTGCTTTGTCTACTACTAAAGCAGAATATATGGCTATTTGTGAAGCGTGCAAAGAATTAATTTGGCTGAAAGGTTTGTACGCTGAGCTTTGTAGAGTTGAATCTTGCATAAGTTTGCACTATGACAGTCAAAGTGCAATTTACCTCACTAAAGATCAGATGTTCCATGAGAGAACTAAGCACATAGATATCAAGTATCATTTTGTGCGTGATGTGATTGAAGAAGGTAAGCTGAAGGTATGCAAGATTAGTACTCATGATAATCCTGCTGATATGATGACAAAGCCTGTTCCTGTTGCTAAGTTTGAGCTGTGCTCAAGCTTAGTTGGTTTAATTGGATAGTCCAAGAGATTATTGTTGGCACCAGTGGTTTTTCTATCTTTGTTATGTTTAGGATGAAGGGTTGATTTATGATACAAGATGAATTTATCTCAAGGTGGAGTTTGTTGGAGTTGTTCTAAATTCACTCCAGGATATAGGCCGGGCTTCTGACGGAGCGGAGTGGAGTCTAAAGCCCAGCCTATCAGGTCTCGCCCCTGTGCTCGGGGGGTGCGGGGGGCGGAGCCCCCCGCGGTACGGTACGGTATATACACCCTTGCTAGGGTTTCGAAGAGACTTGATTCTCTTGTAAGTCGCCATAGGCGTGTAACCCAAAACTCTTGACATAGTAAGATTGTTGTTGGTTGGTGCCCGTGGTTTTTCCCCTTCACATTGGAGGGGTTTTCCACGTTAAATCATGTGTCTCCTCTGTGGCTTGATTCTTTACTTCATATTCCTATACGTCGTTCATAACACAAGATGCTACACAGATGCATCAACAGAACCGGATCGGCCCCAACAGGTTCCCCAACGTGTAGTGTAGGTCTTGGAGTGCTCATCATCAACCCCCCGTCACCGTTCTGTGATCTACATCAAACCATCCATGGCCAACACCACCTCTGTTCTAATAGCTGAAGCAGCGGCTTTGGCATTAGCGGCTTCGGTGGTCTCTGGGTTGGACATACAAAGCCCTGTCTTCCTGACTGATAATCAGAAGCCAGTGACGTTCTTCAATGGACACGATCAAGCCCTACACCCAGAGCTTCATCAGCGCCAGCTCCAATAACAACTCAAGGGTGTTTAAGATTTCACGAAACCTAAACACCACGGCACATGTTCTAGCTACTCAGGCTTGTCATTCGACGTCCTTCTATCCATTGAACACGCTGATCACTTGTATACCAATCAAAATCATGTATCCAGCTGCCCTCCAAGAGCGGCACTGAACTCTGTATCCTAGGAGTCCTTCTCCCTCATCGCAGCTCCGTGCTGCTAATACAATTATCCGTTATAGAAAAAAAAAGATAAAATAGTAAGCTGCTCAAGCTATTTGCACGGATGATGTTGCTAGTTTGTCTTAAACTAATAATTATAATACATTTAGATTGTTTAATAACCCCATCGATAAATTGATCTATGTATATCCTTTAAACAGCATCCTGTCCAAAATCACTTATTTAACTCGTAGCCAAAATTAATATAATTAGATTAATATGCGATGTGCTTTTATAGTAAAATATTGACTTTTTTTTGTAAATCCAGTTCATCTTAAAATTAGTTGATTTATTTATTGAAAAATGAGATGTGCAATTGTTTTGAGACCTTGTTTATTTCCTCCCCAAAAGTTTATATCATATCCCATCGAATATTTGGACACATGCATAGAGTATTAAATATAGATTAAAAAACTAACTAATTGCTCAGTTTGCGACTAATTTACGAGATGAATCTTTTAAGCCTAATTAGTCCATGATTTGATAATATGGTGCTATAGTGACACATGTGCTAATGACTTATTAATTATGCTTAATAAATTCGTCTCGCGGTTTACTTATGGATTCTGCAATTTGTTTTTTTATTAGTATCCGAACACCCCATATAACACCTCCATATTTCAACTAACGTGACACCTTAAAACTTTGCGCCCTGAATTTAAACTTAAACGAGAAAGAAAACGGACAAGTGCACACCAGCACAATGATCACAGCTGACACTTGACAGCGCGTTCCACGAGAGAATAAAAAACGAAGAAGCGTACAACACAAGGTCGAGCGCTCAATCAACTCGAGGCCGCACTGACGAGCTCCGTGAGCTGCCGGACGAACTCGTCGGCGAACCTTCCCTGCACGCCGTCGTCCGTGAAGAAGTCGGCCCACTTCCTTGCGTCCCCTTCCCCTCCGTCCGCCACCGCCGCGGCGACCGCGTTGCACACGTCCTGGCGCCCGAACCAGCCGTCCTCGTCGCGTCGCGCCACCTCGACGCCCACGCGGAGCTCGCGCGCGAACAGCGCCGCGTTGAGGTACTGGTCGCCCTTCATGGGCAGCAGCACGAGGCGGCAGCCGGCGACGAGCCCCTCCACGACAGAGCTGAAGCCGGCGTGGGTGACGTAGCACCCCACGCTCCGGTGGCGCAGGATGTGCTGCTGCTGCACCCAGCCGGAGCACAGCACGCCCCTACCTGCCACCCTCTCCGCGAACCCCAGCGGCGGGACGACCGCTTCTCCGTCCGGGGAGTTGAACACGGCGAGGAACGGGCGGCCGGTGGCCTCGAGGCCCAGGAGGAGCTCCGTCGTCGCGGCGGGCGGCAGGAACGTCTCGCTGCCGAACGACGCGAACACGACGGCGCCGTCTGGGAACGCGGACAGCCAGGTGGCCCAGCGCTCGTCCAGCTCCCCTTGGGGCGGGTCCGACACCAGCGGCCCCGCCAGGCACGGGCTTCCGAAACTGGGCGGCCCAGGTAGTCGACGTAGGCACCCTCCATCTCGGCGCAGGTCTTGACCACGATGCCGTCGCAGGCCCGGATGCCGGCCACCACGCGGTCGTAGACGCAGGGCTGGCCGCCGAAGCTGGTGAACATGTAGGTGAATTCGGCGGCCTGGTATGCCGGAACGCCGGTGGCGGCGAGCGGGGAGGAGGCGGGAAAGCCAGCGGGGGCGGACATGAGGTGGCGCGCCGACGGCAGCGCCCCCGCTCCGGCCACGTCGGGGCGGCGTGCGGGGAGGGCGAGGTATGCACCCGCGACGGCGGAGAAGACGCTGAAGTGGAACGACTTGATGCCCAGCGCCGCGGCGTCGTGGGAGGCCCACGGGGTGACGAAGTCGAGCAGCACAGCGTCCGGGCGGAGCTCGGCCAGCAGCGCGGCCACCTGGGGCCGGGCGGCGTCCAGCGCGACCTTGAGCAGCTCGGCACCGTCGGGCGAGAGGTTCGCCGTGCTGGCGGCGCCCTCGGGAAGCCCCGGCACGCGGGGCAGTTTCAGCGGCACGACGACCACCCCACCGGCGGAGGAGGCCGAGGACAGCATGGCCTCGACGCGCGGGACGTTCCCAGCGACCGTGAGGAACGTGACGCGGACCGAGGAGGAGGAGGCCAGCAGCCTCCGCGCCAGCTGCGCGAACGGGACGATGTGGCCGAAGGCGAGCCACGGGAGCATGAGCACGTGCATGGGCGTGGCGTTGCTGCCGCCGCCGGCGTCCCGGTTTCCTCTTCCGCCGGCCGCCATGGTGCTGTCCAATACTCCAATCCTGTCTGGTTCTTGCTGTGACATGGTGTGGAGTGTGTGAGCAGCGATGCAGCATAGCATTGTATGATAGTAGTACGGGTGGAAATTAGGCATGTGTAAGTTGTCCAATCGCAATCGTCATGTCCTAGTCGCACAGGTACCGACTTAATTCTGAAAAAGTTAAATAGGTTAAACTTTATAACCAAATATATATAAGAAACTATTTATATTTATTATGCATAATTGGTATTATTAAATAATCACTGAATATATTTTCAAAATAAACTTATTTTAAGATATAAATATTGTTGATATTTTCTATAAATCTAGTCAAATTTAAGAAATTTTAACCGGCATGCATCCTATAGCGACACTTTTCTTCTTAGGACGTCACAAAAAAAAGGTAAATGCCACTAGGTGTCAAATTTCTCACCACACGATAATGCTGAACTTCTCTCCTGACCTAAATGGGAAGAAGATAAGAGCTAGGAGAAAGAGATATGAACCACAGATCTTATATCTAATGGTTAAGGGTGTGTTTGATAGCGAGAAATGTCTCAAACCGTTGGGCGTGCAGAGGCGACTAATAGAATTCTTGGATCATCTAGGCGTAGATCAGTGGGAAAATTCTTAACTTAGCTATGGACTTGGTGATGTACCTCGCCGCATGCAGTGGCGGCCATGGCACCGCCGCGACGTGGCCACTGATGTCGGAGTAGAAGTAGCATCGTAGTGGGCGCGCGGTCCAGTAGCGACACCGATGGAGCTTCTCGTCGCTCACATCACTCCTCTCTTGATCAGACTAGGGTTAGACTCGGTGGAGAACTGAGGGCAGTAGTGAACCTCGTACCTTGCGTCCGACCCCCACCTTCCACTTTATAGTGCCGCGCGACGGGGGCCCATCAGCCAGGAGAACGGCTGGGTGCCCCTTGTCAGGGCGTGGATCAAGGGCTCAATTGGCCGTTGGGCCAACTTGGTAGAGATCAACTTAACAGCGACGACCAGTGATTTCTGCGGTGGCCGACGGATGGCAGCTGCGAGTACTTTTGGGTTTCTATTATATTTGATGATCACAGAGTAATAAATATTTATATAATGTTCTAGTGAGTCCCAGCCCTCAACAAGGAAACTGCGTCGATAGAATCGAATGTATTTTTAATAAATCACGATATGAATTCTACAATGGCACACAATGGTCCACCGTACTAAGTACCATGATGTTACCTGTTGAACACCAACAGCTTGTCCTCCGATGGTAGCTGCACCTGTATGGGCAGCCCTAGCGGTTGGAGCATCAATTTGAGTAGAACTGCAGCGGGAGAACGGTGGCCTAGAACAACGGCGAGTAAAACAAGACTGTCCGCTAGAGCACACGTTGGAGAGGTTGCTGCAGCACGCGGGTAGAAACGAGCCGCGGCTCCCCCAAGACGGCTTTCTCCAGTTGTCTCTCTCTTCTCGATAAATTTACTGTCATATCATCAAAATATGTACGTGGCAGTTTAATTATTACGTATAAAACTATCTTGATTTCAGTATTGGAAGGGTCCTGTTGATAACAAAAAGTGGTCAAAGTGTATAATGGACCCCGCCATCATATTTCTACTGTCAAGACGATCAGAAAACATATATGGATCATCCATTTGGAGCCCGGACAAAGAAATAGTGTTTCGCGGGTGCTGGCCCTGCTATGCATGATTTGATTACACCATTGCGTTCCTCTCGTCGAGCTGATCGAAAAACATATATGGTTTATCTTATTTGGAGTCCGAATGAATTAATTACAATTTTTTTAAAAAATTCTGCACCGTACTGCAGCAGAACCGGCGAGGCCGGTTTGTAAACCAGTGGCTGTCCAGCTCTGTGAAAACCAGCCTAGCCAGTTTGCCTATACCAGTCCGACACAAACTCTAATTTGGTCGGGATTTGGACATATTTTCGCATAGAAAACTTGGAGATTACAATCTGGAGTTGTTTCCTATTAGGATAAGACCACCTCCTCTATATATATGAGAGGATCATAGCCGATTGAAGGATCCAAACACTCAATTATCAAAAAACACATCTACTACCTCTCTCTACCCTCTTTTCCTATCTACCTCTTTTTCTCGTTCTTCGTCGGCGCTGCATGGACCGTGGATTGACGACGGCGAAGCTCTAGAGCGGTCAGGCCGGCTAGAGCATCCCATAGCCGCTGCACGCCTCGATGGCGTCCCTCCTAGGCTTGTGGGGTTTCGGGTCTCAAAAGACCTCGTCGGCGTGTCTTGCGTATCGCTTTCTCGGCGAGGCTCTTTCAGCGACGTGTCTTGCGGATCGCGCTATCGCTGGAGGCACAAGGTCCAGGTGTGGACATCCCCTAAGCGTCGGCCGATCTAAAAATTGGCTAGGCCCTACATCGAGCGATCTAGCTCCTTATCGAGTGTGTGATCTAATTAAGCGTTAACACACTTTTTGACGACTCCGCCGGGGATGATTGGTTCAGCTATCTCCTATAGCCGATCTTTCTGCCCTAGCCAATTTGTTGGTTCCAATCTATCCTTTTTGTGTTTATCATTACCGTTGCATCTGGCTCAAAAGGCCGATAATATCTGGTCTTGATCTCCTCTTTTAGGATGTGGAGCAACGGTTGCAACGGCGAGTTCACCGGTCCAATGGGTCAGGGGGGCATCATCAAGTCATCAACAATAGCTGAGGTAAAGGCATGTGGGATTACTGAAGATTCTCCTCTTTTTGATATTATGATTAAGACTATGTCTAAATTTATTAAGTTAGAGGAAAGAATGTCCAGTACTCCTATTGCTACTTTACCTCATGCTGCACATATTAGTGAATCGGCCCCGGCTTTTAGTCAACCTCAATATGAGAGGCCATTTCACTACTATCTTGATCAACATGGCAGGTTTGTTTTTGATAATCAATCCGAATTGGCCTCTTCGGTGCCTGAAACTGATAGGGCCAATTCAGGAGGGGTTAGCACCGTATTATTTTGATCAACATGGTAGGGTGATTTTAAAGAGTCAATCCAAATTGGCCTCTTCGGCGCCTGAAACCAATAGGACCAATTTAGGAGAGGCTAGCACTATACCTCCTGCTAAGAGCTTGTCTTATTGTTATATTGATCAAAATGGCAAGCTTATTTTCAGTAAGAAACCTAAATTTGTCTCTTCGGCACCTGAAACTGATAAGACCAATTCAGGAGGGGTTTGCACTATTTTTCTTGTTGCTACATATACACCGAATTCGGTTTGTACCTCTCGAACCGATGATGGGACAGCAGCACCACATGCTTCATTGCCTCATATTACGGTGTTGTCTGACTCTCCAAAGTCATCAAGCATGGATCCAATGCCTGAGGCTTCATGTGATGCCTCCCAAACCGACTCACAGAAATTTATTAACCGGTTTTGGAAATCAAGAGAGGCACAATTGGACATGCAAGTTACGTATGACGGAGATGCACATCATTTACCTTGCAATAAGACACTTTCCATGGCTAAAGTTATAGAGATAAATAATCTGGCCATCTTGTTTCGGCCGGAACAAGCCGACCCCACTATTAGAATAAAGGTGATAATCGGCGAGCCTAGAGAATCTAAGAAGGGAAAGAAAGTCTTAGACCATGAAGTGGTGCTAGAAAAGTCCAATGGTAATCGGGAGAGTCTCAAGATCACTATCAAATCTTCTGGGTTTAGGGGGCAAGCTCAAACTCCCATGGACAAGCAAAAATCAGCCACTAACACTATTGTTCAAAAAGGGTCAACTAGGCCGACTTTAAAAGTCGGCCAAACTGATTTTAATGTTAGTGGACAGAAAAAATCAGCAAGACCGATTTACAAAATCGGTCAAGCTAGTTGTGAACAAAAATTGCAGCACACATATAAAGATGGAGCGTTGATTCCTTACCCATTAATACATCAAAATCCTCACTGGTGGAGGATGTGTGCTGGTTTAGCTCACAATGAGCAACGGTGTGTCCCTCAAGGTCGATTGAGCTACGGCCAATCGAGCTCCAGCAAGGGAGGACTGATTAAGTCGGTTTTGATTAAACTTGCTAATCAGGTCCAACAAAAGGATGCTCCAATCAAAGAAAGTGAAGGACCAATTGTCGTTGATAATCTGGACCCATCTAATGCTGAGGCGATTTTAAAGGGCGTTGTTATTAATAATCATGAAGCCCGGAATAGCACATCGGCCCCCGAGAATTTCCAACCAACATGATGCCCTTCAGGTTTGTCGAGGACACAAAAACGCAAACTTCAGCATGCTCGTTACATGAAACTCAAGCAAGAAGGGCTAGCAAAGGAACGAGCAAGCGCAACTGACACAGAGAAAGTCGGCCAGGTCGACATAAAGTTGGTGAAAGGTCCTTGTTTTGGTTTTGGTAACTGAGTGACAACCCTTGGTGGACTAATTGTGTTTATATGAGATATACAGGTGATTAGTCCATAGGTACATGTGTGTGAGCAACATATGCCATGGAGGTGGAAATGGCTCGGAGATGTTGCAAAGCTCACACATGTGATGATGAAGGAGCTGATTGCACATGAGACATGATATTGAGTCATGTGATCAAGGTGGAGAACATCAAGACAGACTTGGCTCGACGGACCGGTTGCAAGTGTGAAGGGCAAGTTGAGTGATGACTTGGCGCCGATGGACCGAGGCAACAGTGAAGAGCAAGTGAAGTCAAGATCGATGAACCAATATGATCACGTGATGATATGAAGTGGATCATATCATTGTTGATCGTGTTGGTGCATGTGTTGCATCGACATTGGAGGAGATGGAATGGAATGCGCAAGGCAAAGGTATAACCTAGGGCATTTCATTTCACCGGTCATAGGTGTGTTGAGAAGTTGATGACCAGATTTAGGATAGATGGCCGTACTATCATCTAGTGCCACTTGAGTGATCTAACTTTGCATCGTTGCTAGGATCGAGTGGTGTGGCAAGTTGAGTGGCTAATCCTTTTAAAAATAATTGTGAAAATGCTAACACACATG